TTTAAGCAAAATATCAAAGGGCGGGATGGATCGTCTTTTCTCGGAGAAGGAAGATGCTAAGGCGGAGTTGGCATCGGTCGAGAACCAACTTTGAGTGGCGAAGGACAAAGCCCACAAGTGGTCTAGTTTGAACGACGATCTTCGGGCACAGCTAAGCTCGACCGTCGCGGAACAGGATTCCCTCGAAAGGGAATATGCGGCACTGGGGCCAAATTGCACACAACCTCAGCTCATGCCGAGGGGATAGTGGCCCAGTATAAGGCCGATGTGGAGGCGGCCGAGACTCGCTTAAAGATGAAGACCAAATATATGAAGCGGTTGTCCTGAAGAGAGACCCTCGAAGAGATTCACGCCTGAGCTTTTGGCTTATCGGCCGAGATTGAGAAAGCTTAGAGGCTCGAGGACAAGACAAAAGAGCTCTATGAGCCTGAGGGTGCCGAGGGCGTTGAGGGATCTGAGGCTCCGATGATTCCGGTGGTGAAAACCAGGAGTAGATGCCTTAGTATCTTTGCATTTTTTTTGTTTTTTCTTATGTATTTTTGTTTTTGTTTTGAGCCGTTCTATAGGGCCTTTATAAATGTATACATGAAATTTTCCCTTCCTGGCACTATCACGTCTTTACTATTCTAGCATCTTCTTGCAATTTCTACTCATGTATTATTTTTAATGCCTTCGCGTAAAATTAGATGTAGTTATGGGGAGTCCGTTTTTCGGAGGTTCGAACTAAGCCCGACTTTGATGCAACTTTGTTTGCTCGTGGCTTCAAAATCTCGGTGCGATCAGAGGTTTCCACGACGCTAAAGTGTTTTTAGATGATATTTTTGCTGAGGGTAACCTTTTAGTAGGTTTCGAGTTTTTGTGGAGGCCTTACTTTCTAGCTTCGGACTTCAGACGTCTCTGAGTTGTTTTCATGGTGGTCGTAGCCTTTGGGCACCACCTAATAGGTTTAGTGCCTCCAGAATTCGATATCCTAAGCCGTCCAAATTTTTTTTGAGCGGCGGTCCCCGAGTAAAGCTAGACCGTGGGCTCGATAATTCCCGAGTAGGGGTGGCCCATAGGCTTTTAGGATCTGGGATCGAAAAATGCATAATGATAAAGTGTAAAGGAAGTGAAAATTTCTTTCATTTGTTGGTATGCAAGGTACACGATTGAAAGCGGATAAAAACTTGTGTCATGCCTAGGACGGACTATGTGGGCACGGTTCAAACGAGTGTTTGGCCCTTACAATAAATCCTAACCACCAAGCCTTAGCATTTAGAACATTATGTTTTCTTCTTCCCCTGCTAAAGAACTTATTCCCAGGGTGATGGCCCCAGTATTCGAGGTCGAACTCATGAGGTCTCGGATAATGTTAACCGGAATGTAAACGATCATCGATTCCGGTTTGAAACCCATCTTCAGTTCTAAGTTAGCACGTTTTATTGTTGCCTCGTTAAAAACCTTGTCGTAAAACCCATTTTGGGACAAAACCAGTTCAAGGAAAAAAGAGTATAACGCGTGCTTTCAGATCTGTCCTCGGCCGTTTACCTGCATATGTTAGTCTAATTCATAACATGATAAAAAATTAATCGAGTTCGTACCTTAGCAATAGTACCACTTTATATGTGCCATGTTCCAGTTGTTCAGTATTTGTACGCCATTTCCCGCTCCGAGTTCATAGGAGCCTTTGTCGGTTATTCCGACAACTCGACAAAGTCCTTCCCAGTTCGGTCCCAGCTTCCCCTCGTTCGGGTTCCTGGTGTGTAATGTTACTTTCCTCAACACCAAGTCCCTGATTTGGAAGTGTCGGGGTTGGATCTTTGGTTGTAATACCTTTCAATTTTTTGTTTCTGCGCGGCCAATCGGACCAGGGCGGCCTCTCGCCTTTCATCAAATAGTTCCAGGCTCGTGATCATGGCCTCGCCGTTTGATTCTTCTGTTGCATATTGGAACCCGAGGCTCGGTTCTCCCACTTTAATTGGTATTAAGGCTTCGGCCCCGTAGACCCACGAAAATGGGGTTGCCCCGGTACTAGACCTCGAGGTCGTATAGTATGCCCATAGGACTTCGGGCAGGATTTCCTTCCATTTCCCTTTGGCATCGGTCAACCTCTTTTTCAGGTTTTGAAGTATGGTCTTGTTTGTTGATTCTGCATGCCCGTTCCCACTAGGATGATAAGACGTCGATAGTATCTTCTTGATCTTGTGATCTTCGAAAATTTTATTTGCCTTGTTGCCGATGAATTGTTTCCCATATCGCAAACGACCTCGGCCGGTATCCCAAATCGACATATTATGTGGTCCCAGATGAAGTCAATGACTTCTTTCTCCCGGACCTTTTGAACACTTGAGCTTCAACCCATTTGGAAAAATAATCGATCATGAATAATATGAATTGAGCCTTACCGGGTGCCCACGGTAGGGTACCAACGATGTCCGTTCCCCACTTTATACATGGGCACGGAGACAAAATCGAGTGGAGTATTTTCCCGGATTGATGGATCACCGGGTCGTGTCTCTGGTAGTCGTTGCACTTTCGTACAAAGTCTTTTGCAACTTTCTCCATTTCGGTCCAGTAATAGCCGGCCCTGATTAATTTCCAAACCAAAGATTCTGCCCCTGAATGGTTCCCGCAAGTGCCCTCGTGAACTTCTCTCAAGGCATATTCGGTATCTCCTAGCCCCAAACATCTTGCTAGTGGGTTGTCAAATGTTCTTCTGAACAAAGTCCCTTCGAGCAAGCTAAATCTGGCAGCCTTGGTACGCATGGCTCTCAACTCTTTGGGATCCGAGGGCAATTTTTCGGTCTTCAAGTAGTCTATGTACTTGTTCCTCCATTCCCAAGTTAAACTCATCGAATTTACTTCGGCATGGCCTTCTTCTATCACCGACTTTATGAGTTGTAAAATTGTTCCCGAACTAAATTCATCGGCATCGACTGACGACCCCATGTTAGCCAGAGCATCGGCCTCGGTATTCTAATCTCGGGGTACCTGTTGCAGGGTCCATTCCGTGAATTGACGCAGCGTTACCTAAAATTTATCTAAGTACATTCGCATCCGTTCCACTTTTACTTCGAACGTCCGGTTAAATTTATTTACCACGAGGAGAGAGTCGCACTTAGCTTCGATCACCTCGTCCCCAATGATTTTAGCCAATTCAAGACATGCAATCATGGCCTCGTACTCAGCCTCATTGTTAGTCAATTTCACAATTCTAATAGACTGCCTAACCACATTCCCCGCATGCAATTTTAATACGATGCCGAGCCCAAACCCCTTTGCATTAGAGGCACCGTCCATAAAAAGGGTCCAGATTCTTGAGGTAGTCCCCGAGGTTAACAATAATTCCCTTTTGACTTCGGGTATTAAGGCCGGTATAAAGTCGGCCACGAAGTCAGCCAATATTTGAGATTTTATTGCGGTTCAGGGACGATACTCGATATCGTACCCACTGATTTCGACAGCCCATTTGGCCAACCGGCATGAGAGTTCATCTTTGTGCATGAGGTTCCTCAGTGGGTAATAGGTCACGACACAGATGGGGTGGCATTGAAAATACGATCTTAGCTTTCTAGATGTGCTTAGCAGAGCGAGCGCCAACTTTTCCGGGTGAGGATACCTTGTTTCGGCGTCGCCTAGAGTTCTACTGACATAGTAAATAGGAAATTGCGTACCTTCCTCCTCCTAGACTAAGGCTCCACTTATCGTCACCTCATAAATCACCAAGTAAAAGTACAACTGCTCATCCGCCTTCGGAGTGTGCAGCAGGGGCAGACTCGACAAGTACCGTTTGAGTTCTTCCAAAGCTTGTTGGCATTCCGGGTTCCAGGAAAATTGTTGTTCTTTTTTAACAGCAAGAAGAATCGATGGCTTTTGTCTGAGGACCTCGATATGAAATGGCCTAGGGCGGCTATTCGCCCATTCAGCCCTTGGACGGCCTTCATGTTTTCTACCACGGTGATGTCCTTTATGGCCTTGATTTTATCGGGGTTGATCTCGATTCCTCAATTGGATACCACGAACCCAAGGAATTTTCCTGACCCGACCCCGAATGCGCACTTCTTTGGGTTAAGCTTCATACTGTATTTCTGCAATATGTCGAAGGTCTCCTGCAAATCTTTCAAATGGTCCTCTACTTGCAGGGACTTGACTAACATGTCGTCAATATAAACTTCAATGATTTTCCTATTAGTTCTTCAAACATCCGGTTTACTAAGCGTTGATAAGTGGCACCGGCGTTCTTTAATCCGAACGACATTATATTATAACAGTATGTGCCAAATTTAGTGACAAAAGAAGTCTTTTGTTGACCGCCTGGGTCCATCCGAATTTGGTTATACTCGGAATAGGCATCAAGAAAGTTGAGTATCTCGTGCCCGGCCGTCGCATCAATCATATCGATATTAGGCAAAGGGAAAGAATATTTAGGGCATGCCTTGTTCAGATATTTGTAATCTACACACATTCTTAGCCTAATCCCTTTTTTAGGTACCACTACTACATTAGTAACCACTCCGTGTATTTAACCTCCCGGATGGACCCTATTTTAAGGAGTTTTGATACCTCGCCTTTGATGAACGCATGCTTGACCTCCTCCTCTTCTACTTAACCGGATGGAACTTTGGTTCTAAGATCAACTTATGAGTGGTTACCTCCGGTGGGATCCCTCTCATGTCAAGATGGGACCAAGAGAAACAATCCATGTTAGCTTTAAGGAAATGAATGAGTTTTTTCCTAAGCTCGAGGGTCAACCCCATGCCCAGATATACCTTTCGGTTTAGGCGTTCGATTAGTACAATTTGTTCCAACTCCTCGACCGTCGATTTAGTGGCATCAATATCATTAGGAGCTATGAATGATCTCAGGACTCCATAATCTTCCTCCTCATTTATTCCTCGTTTCCCCAGTTTGGCAGAAATCGGCATCAATGATTGCTATTTAGTGTTTTCCTTGTCCAGCTTCACGTTCCTTAGCATCGATACTGCGGGCACCAGGAGTACTTCGTCAACTGCGAACATCTCCTATTCAGCCGGCTGTTCTCCATAGACCGTTTTGATTCCTCCCGGTGTAGGGAATTTCAATGCCTGGTGTAAGGTCGATGGTACTGCCCTCATGTTGTGAACCCATGGCCTTCCGAATAGATCATTATATCTCATGTCCGCTTCGATCACATAAAGCTTTGCCTCTTGGATCGTCCCTGCAGTGTTTACTGGTAGAGTTGTCTCCATTTTAGTTGTTTCGCATGCCATGTTAAATCCGTTCAACACCCGGACTGCCAACACTATTTGATCCTGCAACCCCAATTGCTCTACAACCCTCGATCTGATGATGTTGGCTGAGCTACCTAGATCATCAACACACATTTAACTCGAGATATATTAATAAGTACGGATATCACCAGTGCATCATTGTGAGGTTGTACGATGCCCACGACATCCTCGTCGCTGAATGAAATGGTCGCTTCCAAGAAATAATCTCAGGTGCGTTTTTCCCTCGTTATGGATACTTTAGTGCGCTTTATCATTGGCCCTTGGGGGACATCGACCCTTCCAATGATCATGTTGATGACGTGCTGAGGTTCCTCCTGTTCGGTCTGTTTGTTCGCGTCCCTGTTTCTGAAGTGGTTTTTTACTCGATCACTCAGAACTTCTCGGAGGAGCCCGTTATTAAACAATCGGTCAACTTCCTCTCTCAATTGCCGGCAATCCTCGGTCCTGTGGCCATGAGTTCCATGATACTTACACATCAAGTTAGGATCTCTCTAGGTAGGGTCGGACTACAATGGTCGAGGCCACTTGGTTTCCTTGATGCGCTCGATGGCTGATATGATGATGGCAGCATCAACGTTGAAGTTATATTCTGATAATCTTAGTGCTTCCCCGGCCCCGAGTGGCCTGTCGAATCCAAATTTGCTCATCAGACTCGGTTACTAGGCCCTCAATTGCTTCTCTTTTTGTTCCTTGTGGGGTGACTCCCGGACCCGTTTCCCCTTTGATCTCCGTTGTATGGTTGGTACCGATCTCGGATCGGTCTCGATTCATGAGCGACAATTCTCTTAGACCTGCCATCGGCTCTAACGGGATAAACGGGCCCGGAAGAGGCTCTGAGTTGGCCGTGCTCGACACTGATTTTTTTATTGGTATCTGTTGTGGACGTCGGCCCAAGTTATCGCCGGGTAGTCTACCAAAGTTTGTTTTAGCTGCTGCCAAGCCAAGGAGCTTTGCAGGTTAAGTCCTTGAGTAAATGCCTGACCGACCCAATCATTGGCAACTGGAGGTAGGTCCATCCGTTCCATCTGGAATCTCGACACGAACTTCCTGAGCATTGTCACACCTCCTTTTTACCTACACCCCCCGGAAGAGGGTATAAGGGAGTTTTTTCCAACTTAAAGTGACAATCGAAAAGGGATTTATTTATTTAAAGATTCAGAGTCGCCACTCGGGATAATTCTATGGTGTCCCAAGTCACCGGTTCAAATCCCGAATCGAGGAAATATTGACTCTGTATTACAGTCCGCGAACACAGAAATCCGGGTAAGAAATTATGTTAACCCGGGAGAAGGTGTTAGGCATTTCCGAGCTCCGTGGTTCTAGCACGGTCGCTCAACTGTTAAAATTGGCCTGATTATCTGATTTTAAAACACTTTTGAACCTATGTGCATATTAACTTTAAACTGCTTTTAATTATTTTAAGGAAGATTTCAACGTCATCTAAAACATGTCTTTGGACCGCGCCACATGAAATGCACCCGCAATCCGAAACACATTTTATTCAATGTTGTTAAGATTTGGATTTGGGACACATGAAATGCACACCCGGGTTTAGGAAGGTAATTTAAAAATTACGCGCCTAAAGCAACTACACGTTTTTAACTTTGCGAGGGCCATGAAAATTTGCTAAATGGCACGCCTCGAATTCTAAGGATATAAAAGAAGTAATTAAATGAGGGCCACGCATTTTGAGATTTTATTTGGCACGGCGCACCTCAATTCCAATTTTAAAAGAGAATTCAAACTAAATTTCGGAGGGCCATAAACTATTTGTATTGTCTAATATGGCACACCTCCGATCTATTTTTAAAAGAGTCAAGCTAATTAAAGAAAAAGCCTCAAGGGATTCAAAAGGCCTTTTATGCTAAAATTCCAACTTAAATTGTAGAATAAATAATTAAATGTCCATTCCCTTTTAAAACCTGGGCCCAAAAGGGAGCCCAATAATTCATTGCACATGCTACTGAACCACTGATTTTCGGTGGCTTAAAGTAAGTTCCAAAGGAAAGCCCAACTTGTAAATGTGAGCAACTGTAATGCTGGGACTCAGGATCGAGTCCCTGCAAGGGCACAAAACAGCACCTCGCCTATTTGAATTAAAATTGATCCCATGAAGCACACACGTAAGTTACAGGTTAGCTACAAGATTTAACTGTTTCAGCAAGCATGAACAGATAATCATTTTTGAAACTCGCAATTTGTTAATCATCAGGTAATCATGCTTGACTCCATTTTTTTTAAAACTAATTTTAAAAGACAATTTCATGTTATTTGAGACATTTGCTCGAGATGTGGGACTGACAATCCTGTAGGCTAATCTAATAAACATTAAGAATCTCAATTTTATCCTCAAACCAAGTGTATTTACCAAGCATCACATAAATGAATCAGTATGAATTTACAAACCATTTTTAGCATTTTAACAAACTTAAACATAATCCCACACCATATGTCACCAACTGATCCCAACCCAAAACTACACAAAGTCCAAAATACATAGCAAATCAAGCATGAAACTTCTGCAACTATAATATTAAAGAACCTCTAACACAAATTCAAACATACTTAAAAGCTAAAGTCCATAATTCATTCAGTATTACAAAACAAATTTAAAGCTAAACAACTAAGGGTAAACATGATAAAGGGGAGATCAGACTACTCTATACATCTGATGACTTTCAAGGAAAAGCATGAATGACATTTCATGAACAAAGGGAAAAGAAGTGTGGCTAAGCTATAAACAAAAATTAATGCATTGCTTCAAAATTCTTTTTCCATTTCATTTCATCAAATCTGAGTTCGCATTTTGCGGATCTCAAGAGTAAGTACCTGGATATTGAAGGAGCAAAGAACAAGGTGAGGAATCAGCAGTAGTACTAGCAGAAATCAGCACCAGCAACACCAGTTCAAACCAGAAAAATGAGTATGAAGCAGTAGAAAACAGTCTCAACCGAACAATAATCACTGCAACTTCAAACCAAACTTTAAACACCCAAATTCAACCCAATTCAACACTAGATCGATTAGAAAATCTTCAGAAATTGAAAGTCTCCAAAATTATAGAAGAAATGCAATGGAGCAGTAATTTGTTTTTCTTTTGGTATTTTCAATCGTTTTGATTTCTATCCAGATATTTCCTCAGATTTTCAGTGTAGAATGCAAAACTCTCAAAGTTTTAGTGATCTCAACTGACTATTAGAACTAGAATAATCAAAACCCAAGCAAAAATTTCAGTAGTTTATCAGAAAACCTCAAGAATTTATAAGCTATTTCAGAATTTCTCCAAAAGAACAGCCGTCTTTGATTTTTTTCGGATTTTCTCCTCATAAAAATCTCCCTTGAATATCAAGTAATGGTGCCTTTATAGGCAAGCTATTAGGGCAGCCTAAAAGAAATCAGATTTGCACTTCTACCCTTTTGATATTTTCATTTCAGCTCAAATAAACCTAATTCAAAAATCAAGCTTTCAAATTAACCCCCATCCCAGCTTCCTAGAAGCTTCCCTAGTTTGTTACTGAAATATTCCCTACATCAATTACCCAGAATACCCCCCTTTAAACCTTGCTATTTACCCCTGAAACCAGGCCAAGTAGGTCAAAATTGACCCAATTCAGAGCCTCATAGGTCTGTAATTCCCAATTAATTCCCCTCTTGGGCTTTTGATTCTTTCAAAGCCCAATTCATAATTGAAGGCTCAGAAACCTTACAATTCCATTTACAGAGTCCCAAGGATTCGAACAATTTTGGGCTCAAAGTAGAAACAGAACTCTGAAACACAATAACTCAAAAACAGAAACGAATACTAATTAAACAAATTATAAGACTAAACATGCAGAACTGACGATTTGAAAGAAATGAAAGAAAAGGAAGCACAAAATCAAAAACAGAAATAACGGACAGAAAAGAAAAATATGAGAAGGGAACCAAACTAAATATCAAAAATAAAGAGAAGAACGATACCTAAAAACAATCATGGTCCAGTAAACAAGGAAGAAAAAAGAACTTCAAATCTTCAAGTTTTGGCCGATTTTGATATTAATCATGTGTTCTTATCAATATCACACGAATAAAATCGAAATAAGCCTAAATCTTCAAGAGATCTCGACTCAGGGGCTTTGGGGATTTTAGGGTTCAGCTCTTTGAATCGAGATTCGAACAGCTCTGGTGATATTTGAAGGGAGTGAAGTGGGGATTTGGAAAGAGGGGAGTGAGGTGGTTCTGTTGTGTTATTTTGAGGGTGAAAGGAGGTGGCGCCGCCGGGCTTGGGGGTGGTAAGAATTAGGGCGGCTATTAGGGTTTGGGGGGTTGGTCTCTGAAGAGACGAGGTGAGGGAGACGAGTTTGGAGGGGTAGGCTCATTACGACAGTTATATATGGGTTGGGTAATCAGTTCCGGTCCGTTGGATCTAATTGATCCAACGGCTAAGATGGGAGGGGGTGAAAACGGGGTCGTTTGGATAAGTGGGGGAGACCGGACCCGGTCAGGGAACGGATTATGGGCTGGACTGGGGCGGGTTCAAGGGTGTTTGGTTTAGGCTTGGAGATTTGGAATAAAATAAGGCCCAAAAAATCTGATTCAAAACCCTTTTGTTTTCTTTTCTTTTCATTTCCTATTTCTTCAAAATTCTTTTTCTTCTCTTTTTTTTTCAAAATTAAATTAAAAATCTAAGTTAAATCCTAAAACCAAATTAGCCTATCAAAACACTAATTAAACCTAGATAATAATTATCACAATTAATTAAGATCCAAATTGAAGGGAAAACCACCAAAATTCAGAAACTAAAATTTAAAAGCAAAAGTAAACTATTTTTGTGATTTTTCTATTTTATAAAATGTCTAATTTGCTAATTAATCCTAAAATGTAAAATTAAATCCTAAATGCCAATGCACCATATTTTTATATTCTTTCAGAATTAAATAAAATAAACATGCACAGACAAATGCCAATAATTAACAAAAATGCTACAAAAATCTACGAAATTGCAAACAATGGAAAAATTCATTTTTTTTGAATTTGTGGGAATAGTTCATATAGGGCAAAAATCACGTGCTCACAGCTGCCCCTTTTTGCTCGGAAACATGAAGAGTTTTCGT